AGTAGCAACGAAAACAAAACTATGTTTCACAATCGATTTGCTTTGTTTGCTTGGCTGGGCCTCTAAATGGCTTTTTGTTGAACTTTGAGTAGCCGTTCAATAGCTCAAATTTTAACCATATTGATTCTCAAAATCGTCTGCGAAAAGATCCTCGTATAGCACCGTAAGAGCGAAAAAATATCATGTTTTGCTTTCGAAGTACTTAGTACATAACGCGTTGCTCGAACTGCATACAAGTTTATGATATTTATAAGCATTGTTTATACGTTAGAGGCACTTTGTCGCTATAAAAAGATGGAATATCACAAAAGGAACTTCTATAGAGGCATTTTTAGTGAAGAGAACAACCACGTGTCAAAAATCTCCCTATGAATACATAAAAAAAACACATTCTTGCAAAAAGAAACTCTTTTCCAGTTGCTGTTGGGTATTTTTTTTCCTTATTTCATTTATGTTTTTGTAGTCATTCGTTAGACTAAAAAGTGTTGATGCAATGCAAAACTTGTTTTACAAAAAAATGCTTTTGTGGCATACTGTAGTGACGAAAGGAGTATGACGTTTTGTCTTCGGTGTAGTTAGCTCATTCCCTGAACTTTACAGCGGGTTTTGTTGGCAGTTACTCAGTGGAATTTTGATTCCAAGAAAATTTTATCGCTAAGACAAGATAGAAAATTATTGATTGGTGTTCTACAAGCTATTTTCAACGAAACAAGCGCCTGCTTATCTAAAAATCCCTAAATTTCAAGACAAATCTTCTTCCTCAGGATTACAGCGCATTTTCAATTCTGTTTTGACATTTTTTTGACAATACTGCAAGATTGTACTCTGAAGGCAGCATTTCGTACAACGAACGACTCTTGAATGCGACTTATCTGGAAAGAATTTTATTACATTGTTGACGTAAGCCTTGGTAAAGTCCGTACTCCTCACTCTATAGCGGATTTCTTCAGAAAATTGCATTTTCCTCACCCAAATTTTTGGAACTCTCCGCCGATGCTATGGATTTTTTCTCAAGATATTCAACAGTCAGTGACTTATATAATCAACATCAGTCAACAAGTTAACACCTTTGCTCATGTCCTAGCACCGGACAACAATTTACCCTTGTTACGTTTGATTTATAGTTCTTACTATCAATGAGTAGCATCTCTGCTTTTCCACTGAACCGGTAGTGATTCGATAGCTCAGAAATGGAGAGTTTGCCACTCGACTTGGCTTTCGGAAAAGCAGCCATAGCGAGCTGTACCAACAGGGTGAGAAATACACCTTTTTTCAAGGTATCTGCCCGTTGTTCAATTTTCACAACGGGTTTTGTTGGCACTTATTTAATTAAGTTTGGACAGTTGGAACACTTAATCGCCACAAGATAGCTCATTACTTAAGAGATTTCTAAGGGCAATTTCTGTCAGAAAAACGCCCATGCGTCCCAACAATTCATAATTTTTGATAGAAAAACGATACTCTCTAAAAATGAACCCATTTTCAACTTCTGCAGCACACTCTTGTCGCATATCATATGAGAGTGAAACCGTCTTTCAACACCGATTATTCGTCCGATATTCACAGATATATCTGTTCTAAAATCAGTTTTCAAAGATCAGACATGTACAGTTCGTAGAAGTCGAGATCTTTCGCACCTGAGTCTTACGTTTCCTCGAACACCTCCTGTCGTCATCAAAAATGGAGTAAAATTCTGGGTGCCGACACCTTCTATGACCACTCACCGATTATCTCTTCATCCCTGTCCTCTTGATGAGATTGGGCACAATACAGTACAATGATAGCCAGAGTTTCAAAAGTTTTTTCTTCTTTTGAGCTTGGGAAGGTCTAACTGGCTCGCAGTTTTCTCAGTCAACTACTTCCGGGATGTATCTTCGAAAACAGTGAATTTCGAATAACAACAATACAAACGCGGAATATACAGCACTTATACTTTCTTAAGAGCACCTGCGACTTTTCGCGTAAAGTTTTCTCCGCAGCACAAATGTATTTGATTCCTCGTTGTATATGTGAACTATAAACAATTCGTAGAACCAAGAAATTTTTGTATTTAAGCGGTGAAAGTGAGGAGGATACCCATGAAAGCAGTTAGGCGGACTATGTTTGTGGTTTAGTAGAAGGAGGCTACAACCACTTTCACGTGGTCATAATATAGTTATTTAGGGAGGCTGGAACTTCAGGGAAATGCAGCGAATCGCCTGAAGGCAGTCAACTAAAAATACGTATGATACGCAAAATAAGCGAGAATGACTATTAACAAAAGTTGCAACTTCGATGGATGTTCATATTTAGGGATGAGTGCACATATATAAAACGTTTATCCACAGAGTGATAGAAGAACGTCTGTTCAATGATTCTATGTAGTTATGATTTTATAGACTTATAATACAAAGATAATTATCCACGAATTAGTATAGCACGCCCTACATCATTTTTGGCCAACTAGTCATTATTTTTTGATTTTTGATTGCTGTACTAAATTTTCAGCATTGTATATTTTGAAACTTATCAAAACTTGAAGTTTCACATCGTGATGACTGTTATACAATATATTACACAATCTCCAAAAGCATATAAATGTGTAGAATAGATCGAGATATATCAGAGTAGAATGAAAAAACCTCGAAATTGTTATTCAAGACTGAGAAAACACCGACTTAAATAACGAGAATTGCGTCGCTTTGAGATACGCGTTGCGCGCAGCAATTTCTGTTGCCGTCCCGAATGGATAAAAGTATGGATAGAATCATAGTGTCTCTCTATACTACTATAGCACTCCACTCTACGTATTCAATTCTCTGGTACTGGACCTATTTCTTATTACAGAAACACTACCATCATGAAGACAAAGGTAATTGTGTCCTGAATTTATAGATTGGAATTTCCCGTAAGTAATCATAACAGATCACAGTTTCTTCTCGATGAGCAGTACAGATGGGAAGGTAAGAGTCTCAATAGCTCTCCCACGCGTTTTACCCAACAAATCTGAATGGACAAGTGGAATACCCGTATGTATTGAAATAATAGGTGACTTAAAATGCGTACAAGTGAAAAGGCAAAATGCGTAAACTATTCACTCGTTCTCCTGACACTTTGGCAGAAAGACATCACTTGATGGCTGATGTCATTGAAGAATAACAAGTGGCACATTGTATTCCGGGTCTTCACCTCCATGTTCATTCTCAAGAACGAGCTTATGAAAAGTGAGCTGCAGTTCATGATTTGATCTGAGATTCAAATACAGTCGCTGACAAATAAAGTGACACAAAATAAGGTGCGATGCTTATAGAGCGTAAAGCGAAACATTGCATAAAACGCAATAACACCTAGATAGGTGGCACACAGAATAGAAAGTTAGCGGAACACGACGATGGAAAAGGGTTCATAACCATAGTAAACGTATAGGAAAGAATCGAAATGTTTAGAAAGAAATAAATAATCTGGCTATACATGTTAAACATTACCATGCTAGCATATGCACCACTAAAATAAAAGAACATCGCTACTTTCTCAAATATTTTGAGCTTCCAACTCCAGAAATTCTATATTTGCTGAGAGTTATCGTAGAAAAACGAGCGCTATTGAATTTATGCTTACGGCCTTGTATTTGAACACGTTGAGGAGTTCAGCAACTGACTCAAAATTTGACGCTATTCCGCTTGATTATCTCCAAATGAAAAAGCCTCTGGTATTATGCGACCATATATATATATATAGACATATACATATATATACATAAAGATACATATTTATAAATACAAGGTGAGTAAAAAAGTTCGTGTATTATCATCTCGTTAAACTTTGGCAATGATGTCTTATTTCTTCATCAATGCTGATAACATGATTGAATTCCTTGTTCAATTTTGGCTAGAATATATTCTATTTATATGCCTATTTTTAGTTGTGATAAAACTTCGAGTGGTAATAACGTATCGAAGTAATTAAGCTGCACAAGACAAGAATGAAAACGGCCGACGTTGTTAAAATCGACTGGTTTCAGACCAGCAACTATCTACAGAGTCGTGAAACGGCCGTCAAAGAGGCTAGACGGAACCACGTCGTCTACTCCTAAAAAGCATTCAGAAGATTCGTGACACGTTCATCGAAATCCTGAGAGTTTGATGCGCAAAATGAGTCGGGAAGCTTAGGAGCAGCGAGCGGAGCGTCCGAAACATTGTTAAGAATAAGCTTAAGCTGCGCAGTTACAAGATCGCTCGTATTTATTTTTTAAGCAAAAAATGGAAGAAAAAAGGCTTTCAAAGGTTCACCGGAATGATTTGTTCGTCAAAGGTGCGTCAACTTTAGTGATTTTCCAGCCTCTCTGATGGTCTGATTCGTCATTTACGTCATCGGAAAGACACCGTTGGTCTTTCTCAACAGAAACGTCAAAATCAATGCTGCTAGCTATCAGCAGCAAATTCTACAGGATATACTGGAGTCTTGGACTACTCAACACTTTCGCGTCGACGGAATTACGTTTCAGCAGGGCTACGCTCCTGCGCATTCGGCTCGCTCAACATTGCTATTTGTCAAGAGCAGCTTCCAGGCCCTTGAGGCAAGGGTATTTGGTCGTCAAACTTCTCGGATCTCAACCCAATAGATCATTCTTTGTAGCCCATACTGGAAGAAAATGACTCGGCTACTCGTCACACTATCATAGACGCGCTTGGGACGAAATTGCGGGGGAAATGTGAGCTAGCATCGTAGAAAATTTCCGCATGCGTCTTCGAAAATGTATTGAGGTCAAAGAAGGCAATTTGAACAATATGTTATAAAGTTCTTGTTCACGTCTTGAAGTTGTTGACCGAACAAACGTACTTATTCTTTCAATTGAATGAATTTATTTGCTTATGCAGTCTTTATTTATAGTTGAAACATAATTACAGAACTTTTCTCGCACCCTATATTTGACATATATATGTACATATATGTATATATATATATATATATATATATATATATATATATACCTAAGAGAATTGAGTGGTGAACAAAAACACGGCCTCAGTCGAGAATCGAACCTCGTCTCATCCATACCGAGGACACATGCTCTACCACTACACCACAGAGGCACATTTGAGGCATATGTGTGTATATATATATTTATTTATATATATACACGACTAGGCACCACTTCTGTGAACTCACCAACTTCTTGCGCTTCATTTCGCTTTCACACATTCATCAGACAAATGACCTGCGATTTTGTCTATGTTGGCTTGCTGCTTGAGATTTCGATGTTTCGTGAAAGTTATTGAACGCTTATCAAGTCGCTTTTCAGTGGAATGCAGAGAGAGCTGTGCTATAACGTGATCAAATCATCAGAAGCGGTCGCTCCTTTTCATGGATTTCAGACAGCGAATCTTTCCCAAAGATATCTGGTGTCAATTTTCTGAGAGCATACACATTGAGGCTTAGTTGGTCCCAGGTAAGGTTAAGCCAAAGCCAAAATCTAGGGCGTCTCGAGCGACACCAACACCATTGTTTCCCGAGTCCTTATATACCTACTTATTTACTCATTCATTTATGTTTCAAAAGTTTTTCATATCGCAAAAGTCGGTAGCTTACCCTATCCGAAACGATAACTTAACAATTCAGACAGTTGATGTCTAGAGTGCAGCTCCACTACAATGATACTGATATGGCCAATGAAAGTTTGATGTGTTTCATAGTTGTAATTATAGATCCGAGAGCGTCGAGCGAAGTGCTAAACATTCGACCTTAGGAGCAAGTCGAACTTGCTTTCACCCGTACCTGCTCCTGCAACCATTACGCCACAGAAACCACTACTTTGCTACTACTCTTTCTTCGATAGAAACTATCCATGTTTTCAGCAATCTAATTCATGTTTCACATTATTTGTCATGCTTGAAAGTCTTCAGATTCGTCCCTCTACGACCACTACCTTAACAGGCTATCAGAAGCAGAATTTGTTGTCGTTTTTCTCACTCGAACGCCGCGGAAATTTGTTTATATTTGCAAATGAATCTGAAAACGCATCGTAGATCTCTATTGCCTTTGAATAAAAAATTGTGGAAGTAAGGTAAATTTGCAGCATTTTCATTGTCAAATCATTCGCGATGATGCTGGTTTAGCATAACTAGAGATACTAAAAGCATGAGGATTCAGCAGGCTTATGAAGGCGAATTTTTTTTCTGTCATTCAAAAGATGTTAATGAGAAACGGATGGCTTTTGAATGCCCCGTTTACGCTCGACGAAACGATCATTTCCGAATGCACCAGCTAGTCTGTCTAGGTCGTGAAATCAACATGATAAGCGACCTAGCTCCAGGGCTTGAGCAAGAGGAAATAAGCGGCTTGGAGAGCCTTTAAGAGCTCCAAGGATGGAATAAGGAGGGCAAAAACATTCGACTCCGTTCCACCTTTCTGACTCCACGGCTATCCCTGCCCTAACGTATGCAGCAGAAACCTGGTCGTTACATAAGTAGTATGAAAGATCACTTGGTGTTACTCAACGCGGAATTGAGAGGTCGATGCTATAAGTATCCCGTCTCCCGCAAATGAGAGAAGGGATCCGAAGTTCTGACCTGCATCATCAATCAAAGGTCAAGGATGCCGTTTGTAGAATCGCCAGGCTGACGAAAATACGGTGGGCCGGACACGTAATATGCTTCAACGACAACCGATGGCCGAGAGGCGTTACCAGCTGGATTACTCGGGACATCAAGCGCTCCATAGGATGACCACCGACGCTATGATGCGATTTCTTCACGAAAAGCTTAGAAGAAAGTTATGATGCTTAGCAAATCCCTAGAGCGAGGAGGACCCACTGGGCTACTCTTGCACTCGATAAGAATAATGGAAGTGTTGCTGGTGCCCGCTCAAGTCACTCGACGATCAGCGAGACAGCAGGTGATGCAGGTGATACGTATCTACACAAAATTTGTATCATAATACTCTGTTTCCACATTAATTTCACATCATTCAAAATTTTCGGAACTTTGAAGTACTAATATTTCCCAGCGTTCTGACGTCACTGCAGCACATTCATTCATCAGCAATGAATGCGAAGACATAATGGCATGTTGCTGGGCGAAATTCGTCTTGTTCAATCGTTTTGCTCTCCAAAAATACGAGAAAAACAAGCAAAAAAAAGTTTTATAAGCCCATCAGTATTGAAACTGGATGACATTGTGGTTGAACACGGGCGCCATAGAGGGTTGTTGTAACTTCTATTTGCTTTTATATGAGTAGAACAAATCACTAATCTAAAGTGTGTTTATCTAAAGTTGAAAGTTGAAGTTACTTCTATCTATTTTTGAGTCACAAATGACTCATTTTATGGAAAATGTGGTATTTTCTTGTTTGAACTTTGCATATGGTTGGAAATATGAACCATTTGGTAAAGATGTTCAAATGTCGTTAATGATAGCACATTTTATGGAGAGGGATCACTTTTGTGCCCTTGAATATTGAGAAGAAGGTTGTCTCTTCTTCTGAATATTTGTGAAAAAAATATTGATTTATGGAAAGTTTTGAATGAGAAACTTTCCACTTCAATCACGAGTTATAATCAAGATGAGGTTCCTCGCAAATAAAAGTTTCAGTTTTTTTCTATTTCCACAGACTGGCAACCCGCTCGGTCGTTATACGACTGCTCTCCTTCATATCTGATTCCCTCATCGGAACGAAGACATTACCGTACAGGATTGCGCACATCTTTTTCCAGTTTTCCAAAACTGATACAGTCGTTCCCTAATAATTGTTTGCGAGATTCAAATGTAGATCTTACTAGCATAAGGACTATGACGAGGGAACCAAATGATGTGTTTTATCATAGTCCAACTTACAAACCCATATTATCAGTAGTAACTAGCTCACTTGATTTTCACTCTTTTTTTATTGATATTAGACAGTTTGCGTTCATGAACTGTTCAGTTTCCAGCAAAAATCACATTTCTTTCATCCGTCGGTTGTTTTGAGAGTATTTGTTTGCGGGTAGGCGCTTTACTACGCCATTCACAACTACAGAGCATGATTCTGTACATTGAAATCATGTCGTTTCCAGAGCAAGTGCAATTGATTTGGTTCTAGCTGCGAATGCAGGTGGAAAATGTCGGATTTCCATTAGACTTGGTCTGAATGACCATCACGATACATAACATCGTGCTACAAATAGAAATGCTCGGCACCCAGGAATATCCCCTAGCTATGGTGATGGGTTGCATCATTGAAAGAGATCTCTATCTTATTATGACGCATTTTAAAACTCTGAATAAGAAGCAATCTTAGACTACACTCACCAGGTAATATGAAGTGAGAATGGTAGAGCTCCACAACTGAATCACAATTATGAACAGAATTGAGGAGAACAAGCAATGCTTACACTTTTGTAATGCCTCAGTCTCCTGACGTGTCCATTGAACTGCATTCAATTGGAGTGCTATCGAAATGCGCATTGAAATCAATACACACTATCTGAGGCGTGAAGTCAAGTGTGCATCGGAAGTAGTGCACATAGTTGCGAGAAAGTTTATGTAAATAAAGCACGGTAGTGGTTGTAGCGAACATACTTCAACCTCTACCTGCCTGTTACCAACTTCATATTATTTTCTCTCAGAACCCGTCATCACCAATTTACTCTGCGGATTCCAGCAATTCCTGAACTTGATTCTCCTCATGGCATTGGTCCTCCACCAAGATCTCCGAATATGTCCGTGTTGCTTCGGCTGCTGGTTGATGATTTCGACCTTTCGTTGAAAGAAGAATAAAGCGCTTAGCGTTGATCAATAACGTGGCATGCACCATGTATTTATCTTCATTTAGTACCGTTTAAGGTGATTTAATGCATATGTGGATTTTACAATGACTCGCGGTGGCCTATCGATGTATTGAGTCAGTGCTGCTGTCTCCCAGACAAGTCTAGTACAGATTCACGACCTTGGAGGGATAGAAGGCTTGGTCAGTCTTGAGCGCGGGACCAACCAATGACCACCTGACCGACTGATACCATATATGTGTCGCAGAGTACCTCTAAACACTGCGCCTGATGCGCCTCATTTTCTTCATGAGTGACGGGGAATGCTGGCCAAGACGATCCTCCTTTCAAGCTTGGAAGCAGCCGAGAAAAGGCGTTCTCTGAGGCTTTCCTAAATACCTAAGAGAATTGAGTGGTGAGCAAAAGCGTGGCCTCAGGCGGGAATCGAACCCGCGTCTCATCCTATCCGGGTACGCGTGCTTTACCACTACACCAACGAGGCACATCTGCGTCGCCACTCATTCTTTAACATCTTCATGTTAGCTATCAGCCACCATCCTTTAACAAATTTGGTCGGGTATGCGATTTCGATTTATAAACCCAGTTGAGCTGACAGCCACTGTTAGATGATTGCAAGAGAGTGTGGGGAAAAGGGATCGAACCAAAGCGTCTCTAACCATCCCGCTTTCTGAAACGTTGCGCCACTAACCTCTGCGCTACCCTCCCCCGGAGTCAGTCTCAATAGCTTCTTTAGAAAAGAGTGAACAGGCGCTCTTCAACTGGATTGTCCTCTGTTTTTGTTCTGGGGTGCTTTGACTTTCGGCTGTGTCGTCGTTGTCGTTAGGCCGCTATCGATCCTGTCATTGGGGGGCAACAAGGCCTTGGAACTCGTCGGTCGTCATCGTCGCGTGGCCCTCCGCTTCGTTTTCCTCGTCCTCTAGAGTTTTTTCTCTTTCTTTTTTCTTCATACCCTGTGTTTTCCTTCCTCTTCATGCAATTGAGTGACTGCGATTTCGTCTAGATACCCCGCCTTTTTCCAGTTAGAAGATTCTATAAACACAAAAACCCTCATACAAACTACATTGTTTGAGCGGAACCGTAATCTATCCCCATTAGGACCGAATCTGGCAAAGATTGCATGCCCTTTTGAGTGTTCAGGTTGTTGAACACGAGCCATTATCTTCTATACCGGTCATTTCGATCGGAATGTCCGCCTTACATGAGCTTCACTAAACCCTGCCATACTTTAGTGACTTTTCCTTTGATTATCTCAAACATTAAGTTTAGTGCAGCAAACAGCAACAGCGGCTACAGCAACACCAACACCAAAAACAACACCAACAGCGGCAGCAA